CTTAGGAGTTCATGTCCAGCTGTGGCATCCATTATTAGGTCTATTCGAGGTAAGGAAAAACTGTCCTTAGGGCATGCTCGGTTAAGATCAGTGAAGTCAATGCATATTTGCCATTTTTTATTGGTCTTCTTGACAAAAACCACATTGGCTAACCAGATAGGGTAGTCAACTTCTCTAACGGCTTTAGCGTGGAGAAGTTTGCTGACTTCCTGGTTGATTGCCTTCTGGCGTTCAAGGGCAAAACTTCTTCGTTTTTGCTTGACTAGTCTACATATGGGATTCACACTCAGCTTGTGTGTGATAATCGAGGGGTCGATTCCTTCCATGTCTTCTTGTTTCCAGCCGAATACTCTCCGATTCTCCTTTAGGAATTGGATAAGGAGGTATTTTATTTCCTTGCTTAGCTTAGACCCGACGTAAACAAGATGTTATGGTTCTTTATCGAGCTGAATAGGCTCTAATTCCTCCAAAGGCGTTGGTCTAGTGTCCAGTTCGTCCCTTATATCTAGCTCATCTAACTAGACATTCTCTACTTCTTTTTGTTTCATCGAGGTCATGTAACATTCACTTGATACTCACTGGTCTCCTCAGACCACCCCAACTCTATTTTTCGTAGAAAATTTCATAACCAAGTGATAGGCAGAGGGGATTGCCTTCATTGCGTTGAGGGAGGGCCTCCCAAGAAGCATATTATATGCAGAAGGGGCATCCACCACTAGGAACCTTACTGTGGTGGTGGCCTAGCAAGGAGGATCTCTCATAGTGAGGACAAGCTGGATTGAACCCAGGGGCAATACCCTCTCTCCTGCGAACCCCAACAGGGTGAGCACTAACCGGCTCCAGCTTTTCCCTACCTATGCTCATTTTGTCAAACGCGGAAGTAAATATAATATTTGCTGAGCTCCCATTGTTAATTAAAACTCGGTAAATAGTATTGTTGGCCACAATAACTCTTACCACCAATGGGTCATCATGAGGGTGTTGATAGCCTTCCAAATCTGAGTCTGAAAAGGTGATGGCATTATCCAACCAAAGTGCCTTGGACACACTGTGTATTTCCAGCGCTTCGCCAACTTTGATTCTGAGCAGGTGAGCCTTCCAGGCAGAACTGGACTCCCTACCCCCTACGAACCCTCCAAAAATTACTCTTATTTCGCCTAGGGGTTGTTGATGCAACACTAGAGCTTGTTGTTGAGGTGGTGGAGATGGAGGGGCTCGGTACTAATTATCCCGAGCTACATAACGATGCAATTGACCTCGCTGGATCAGGAACTCGATTTATTTATTCACTTGGATACAATCATCAGTATGATGGCTATGATCTCTAAGGTATTCAGAATACTTGTGGGATCTCTCTTTGCTGGGTCTACTTTCATCTGAGGTGGCCACCTTAGAAAGTTCTCGCTCTGCACCTCATATAAGATCTGAGATATCGTTGCGGTGAGTGGGGGGAGCTGTCGAGGTACGTACCTTGATTGTAGCTCTGGCTGTGGCGGACCTAAGCGATCTCTGACATCTCCCCTCCTTTTGGGGGAACGATCTATGTCCCTTCTTGAAGACCTGTCACGCCCTCTTTCTCTTCTAGGACTTCGGTCCCTTTTCTTTTCCTCTTTCCCTTTGTCTTTTTGCGTAGATGAACTTCCCACCTTTGAGAGAAGAGCTTCTTCACCATTTATGTATTTTTCTGCCTTAGTCAATACCTCAACCATGCTTGCCTGAGGGTTCTTTGAAATAGAGAACATCATGTCTTTGGATTGCATGCCTAGACCAGCGATAAACACTGTAATGGCAAACTTCTCATCTAGAATATCCACTTCTAGGGATTCCTATTTGAACCGTTGGAGATAAGACCTGAGGTTCTGTTGGGATCCTTGCTTCACATTCAATAAGTGGTAGCTCAGCGTTTTGTATATCTGAGCTCCTATGAAGTGAGATACGAAGGATATAGAAAGCTCTTTAAAGGAGGAGATCGAGGCCGGGGGGAGCCTATTGAACCATGTTAGGGCTGACCCTTTTAGCGTGATGGCGAAGGGTCTATAGCGCACTGGGTCTTGGTATCCGTGGAGCTCCATCTGATTTTTATAAGTATTTAGGTGGTCCACGGGATTCTTTATCCCATCAAAGGCTTCTATCTGCGACATCCTGAACTTTGGGGGGAAGGAAAAATGCAACATATCTGCGGTGAATGGTGACTCAGTTTGTTGCACCAGGGCATCCATCGTAACTGGAACCTTGTTCTTCACAGCTTCCTTCATATGCCTGAGCTCCTGCTGGATGCCATTAAAGCGCTGCTCCTAGTACTGATCTCTCCTCTCCTGTTGATAGGGGAGAAAATCGTTCCTTTTTTTCCCAACATTTTGACTTTGCACCTCTTCGTTGCATTCGTTCCTTGAGGGTTGATGAGGATCTTGTCCCTAGGTCTAACCGTTTTCCCCTCCTTCACCAACTTCTCTGAGTGGGTTGAGATGTTGTTGCTCCTTGTGAGGGGGTTATTCTGGCCTTCTTGGGCCGGTCGTGCCTCCTCAGGGCGTTGCAAGAGCTTCAAGAGCTCTTCGTTCTCCCGTATCAGGCGCTGATTAATCAGGCAAAGGGCCTTCAACTCATTATTTGAGTGAGGGTTCCCCATGGGGGGATTTTTCTCTCGGACGTTCTGAGGCTATTTGTCATTGGTGGCTTCCTGTTGTTCTTGTATCCGTGGTAGATTAGTCTGACTTCTACTCATTTTACGGGTTGAAACCAACAATCACTAAAAAATCAGCGTATTTGTAACAGGAATAGTCGTTCCCACAGATAGCGCCAAACTGTTGGTGATAATCGTGGTGTAGATTTATAAGTAGGTTGAATGATTAATATCTGGATTTTAGGATCTGAGCTAGGAAGCTCGAGAGAGCGAAGACTAGTATCAATGGAAAATTGGGGGATTGACACAATTAAATTATAGTGGTTCACCAGCTCGGAGCTCGGCTAATCCACTATTTAACAAAGGCTCTTGCTCCTTTTCTCATTTCTTCTCATTTTTAGAGAGTTCTCAGAATAGAGTTTACATTCCTCGAGGTCCCCCCACTTTGGGAGAGTTACCTAATATTTATAAGGCTGTTCCTAGTTCTATGAGATCTGTACCGAGATCCTTGCTATTTATTCGAGGATTTCTCCCTAATCTTAGAAGAGGAGCTTGGCTGGTTAAGGATTTTATGCCTTGAGGATAGCTCTTTGCCACCTAACAGATTTATGTTATCATCTAGTTGTCTCCTTATCACTTCCGTTCTTGGCACGTTTGGGTAGGGGAAATCTAGCTCCGACCTGAGCTCTGCGTGTCTTTCCTGACTTCTTACCCAGACCTGCTTGTCTGACCTTTTTGTTGGAAATTATTCTGAGTATCATCAATATATATAGTTTTCATATACCCATATAATAAATCACATATGTTTTTGAACTTATGAGTGCATATTTTTTCTCTCAAATTTCACACACTTAACACACACTTTCTCCCAAATTTTAAAAATCTAACACACATACTCTATAACACACAATTGCACAAACATACACATATTTTAACACACACATTCTAATGCATGCACAGTGTCATAAACTTATAAGGGTGTATTTTTATTTCTAAATTTCACACACCCAACACACTTTTTTTCTAAATTTCAAAAACTCAATACAAACACTAACCCACAATTATAAATATATAAACACACTCTAACACACATATTGCAACGAAGGTACAGTATGATAATTTAGTGTATAATAACTTTAATTAGTAGGTATTCGCTAGTTATTCTATATATGGTCAACTATCATAATTGAATCTGTGGGGAATAAACTTATAAAAGTAGAAAATTGAAATGGACGAAATATTTCATCGTGAGTATGCGTGGCAGATATGCAATACAAAAAGATAATAATTGTTTTATTTTCTAAAAGTAAAAGTGGATAGGTGCATAGGGATACTAAACAAGGCGGCTAAATACCTTTTCTGTGGCGCATACTATTTTTGACTATTGGACAGAAAAAGTTGTCAGTGCCTTTGCAAGCGAAAGAAGAGGCAACCCAGAAGCTTAGTTCAGCAGGGAAACATGTACATGTGACAAAAAGATAACGTCACTGGGATAGAATTCTACCATAGTAATGATAGTGGAAGAAATTTTCAGGCATGTTTGGAATAATTTTTGATAAGGATTTGAATTAGTTTATTCAAATTCTCTTAAATTCAATGATAGGATTTAAAAGTGGAATATAATATTTTTTGAGTGTGTTATTTTTTGATGTTATTATTTTTTTGTTGAATATGTTATTGTTTAATGTCACTATATTATATGTGTGTGCATATATATATGTGTGAAATTTTAAAATTCAATTGATACACAAATATAAAAAAAAATCTTAAAAGTCTCACATTCTAATCTTGAAAGTCTCACGTTCAATTAGGTATGCAATATTTATGGTAGGGGTAAAAGGGTTTATATGACTTTTTTTTAGCATATTTACTTCTATCTCAATTATTTTAAAAAGTGTATTTTTATCCTATTAAATTTTTTGAGAGGTATCGGCCTCCCTAAACTTCTAGAATATATAAGGGGTATAAATATCATTTCAATGTTAAACCCATTAACCCACATATGAAACTCATCTCCATGAATTTCATTAAATCCATGAACTTGAGTTTTATGACTGGGCTTAAATCGGACTCTGTTTCAAACTTTAGATTAGATATGCATTTATCAAACATGAGTTTGAAAAAATTTATTCTCTGACCCATATTTTAAAATCCCCCAAATTTAGATACCAAACATGTCCTTAATAATTAGCGTTCTCTATTACAAAAATACGAAGAGAGTGAGAGAACATTAAAAAGTTCACTTTTCAAGAAGCATAAAGCACTAGGTCCATTTATACTCTAGCACGTTTTAATTTGTAGAGCTTTTAAAGAGTATGGGTTACTTCGGCGACCTGTAAAGAAAATTGAACTTGGGTTCTCATATTTTGAGAGAGAGATTATGAGGGCTCCTTGTTGCCAGAAGATGGGATTGAAGAAGGGACCATGGAGTCCCGAGGAAGATCATATATTGATCTCTTACATAGAACAATACGGCCATGACAATTGGCGAGCACTACCAAAAGAAGCCGGTGAGCATTTGAATTCCCTAGTGGGTGTTTTTCAAGACAAATCTACTACTTAAATCCTTGTTTTTTCCAACAGATACTACCAATTGAATGTTATCTTTTCAAGCTTTTGCCTTACATGAAGTCCTCACTATATTTCTAAAACAGTTCAAAAGTATTGCTTCTAGGAACGATAACTTTGTAATTTCAAAATAATGATGTTTATTATTCTTCTCTATAGGTCTCTTAAGGTGTGGAAAGAGTTGTAGACTTCGGTGGACAAATTACTTGCGGCCAGATATCAAACGGGGAAACTTTAGCAAGGAAGAAGAAGAAACCATCATCAGACTACATCAAAATCTTGGAAATAGGTGAGGCTTGAAAACGTATGTTTAAAACAAGGACTTCACTATTGTACTAAAAAAAAATTTGGATGCCGTATCTCTAACTTTTACCATTTTATTGGGTGTATTTATAATTTTTGTGGGACATTTTATAACAAAAAAAAATATCACTTTTGTATGTGTTTTTACTTTGTTATGGGTGCTTTTATCACATTTGTAGTAATTATTTTTACTGTTTTTTTTGGTACAAAAAAATTATTATTTTTGGGAGTAATTGATTTGTCATATTTATGAATATTTTTATAAATTTTGTGATAATTATTTGTACTATTTTTTTAATACTACAACAGTGAGAAAATTACAACAAAAATTCAATATCATAGTGAACTCCTTAAAACAATAGTAGGGATATTGGGGTTCTCCTTTTTTTTCATTTTTGAAGGCTCTTTTGATCTTACTGTTTTATTCTTAACTTAGGTCAGACAAAATCTTCACGTGAATTAATCGCAACTGCAGTAACAACAGAGTGTGAAATTTGGTGGAAAAAATATACCCAAAAGTTTAAAAAACTAACTATCTTATTATATAGATCCTATAGCATCGAAAAGTTTAGACAAAAAAAAATATGTAACTAAAGATTTGTTGATTCATTCATAATCATTTAACATATTAATAATAAAATAAAATAAAAAAATCTATGTTTGCTATATTCTCATAACTCATTGGTTAGAAAAAATAAGCGTTGTACAACTGAAGGTAACTTTTCAGTAGGATAGTTGCACATTTGAGAATATGTATGCATGCATTCGTACCTATGTTACTTAATACGAGACTCTGCATGAACGAAACTAAACGCTTGGTATAAATTTTTGCCCTCCAGATGGTCTGCCATTGCAACAAAATTGCCTGGACGAACGGACAATGAGATCAAAAATTTCTGGCACACTCACTTGAAGAAGAAAGAGAAACAAACTTTTACCACACTTAATCTCAAAGGACACTCCATCGATTCAACCAGATGGGAGACAAATGATGCGAGACTGTTAGAGCCTGCAAAGTTTTCTGGTCATATGAGATTTCACAATTTAAGCTATACTCAAAACCCTTCCCAAAGGTCTTCTGAGAACTTCTTGAAATCAGAGCGTTACACAGCAACAACAAAATCAGAAACTGAGGAAGGAAACATAAATGCATCAATGAACATTCCTGAAATAAATGTATTGAAAACAACTTCCATTTCAAGCATATCGAGGGGAGTAGTGGATCCAAGGCCTCAATCTCTGTATCCTGCAGAAATATCTACACAAAAATCAGTGGATGGCGTCAATATGGATATCAGCAAAGACATGGTCTTCTGGTACAGTCTCTTCATTAGAGCGGGAGGTAACAACTAGAGATTATACGACAAGTTCCACAAATTGTACAACTTTTGGTTTTTAATTGATTTGTGTTCCAGAGTGAGAGAAGAGTTGGACAACAAATTAAAAGAGGATAGGGAGTGGAAAGTTGTGAGCAGTTTGTTATTTGTGGTATTCTAAATATAGTAAAATTACTTATAAAAAATTTTGATTTGAAATATATAGTTTAAAACAAAACAGTGAAGAACGAAATAGTTAGAGTAGTATGTACGAAATAGTAACCGGTATGAATAAAATAGTAACACAATAAATATATGTTTAACCAATATAAAAATTGACCCGTTTATAGAATAAAAACTGCTATTAAACTTTAAATAGATTAAGATTAGTGTTTGCCACTATGTTTTTAAAACATATTTCGTTCTCACACACGGTGCTTATGAAAATTAAAGCGTCGGCCTCCTAGGATATAATGATCTTCACGCAAATAAAAGTAGCATTCTAATCTACTCGTCCAACGAACTATAAATTATGTTGTGTATTTTTCAAATGCAAACTGTATTAATGCCGAAATGTAATGTACTAATGTCTGCCTTTAACTCTGAAAATGATTAACGAAGAATGGTAATAAGTTTGGATTTTTATAGACAAATTGGTGATTGTTCTGGACAATCACTGATGTGAACCCCTATCGGTTTGCTTTGAGACCCAACAACTCAAGAAAGTCAAATACAGGTCTATGGATGGAGAATCTAGACCCGTTGAAAACTCGTTTCAAGAACTTAGATTATATTAAAATCTAGACCCGTTGAAGAACCCACCTCAAGAACCCAAATTACAAGGAGGAAAACCACAAAGGTTGTGAAGTTCAAAAGTTCATTCAAGAACAAGAGGAGTAAACTCAACTCACAATTAAAATTCAATATTGTCTGCCCCCTTGAAGTGGTTGGTTATATCCTTTAAATACTCTTCCCAAAACATGATAAAATCGTAGATTAAAATTTGTGACCCTTTCTCTCAAAAATTCCCTTGAGTGAATAGTGTCGTGGTACTGTAACGTGAATAGTGTCGTGCTACAATAACTTCAAAAATCCTAGTTCAAATAAAATAATAACTTTTCTAATAAGCCCTTGACCAAAATACAAGGCCTTCCCAAAAACTCTAATTCATATGAAAGAAGACATATGTGGACCAAGCATCCTCAAGCCCACTTATTCTAAACTAATAATAAAAATCCTTTACAAAAATTAAAAGCCTTAACAACAAAAGGCCCTATCTCTAAGTCATGTCTTCCGCAGCTTGGATCAAGTGGATCAAAATTGGTTCTCCTTCTTTCGAGCCCATCTTGAGTGTTGGGCTCTTGCTAGCTTCATCCCAGGTGGGTTGTATCAATCCTTGTATTGCTTACCTGATCTTCTTGGTTCTTGATCTTGTAATTGGCCCTCTGGAACTTGCAAATGATCTTTAAGAGTAGGTCCACCTTAATTCCCATCATTTCCCCTCTCCTCAAAAGGATTCGACCTCGAATGTTCACCGTGATATTGTTGATTGCCCTGTAATCAACGCACATCCTCCATGTCCCATCCTTCTTTGGCACTAGTAGCATTGGTACTACACATGGGCACATGCTCTCCCTCACTTCCCCTAACACCAAGTTCAACCGCTCAAATTGTTGTTGCATGGCCTGATTGAAAACCTCGCCCTGATACCAAATGATATTACCCCGCCAAACATAACAAGATCCAACAATGAAAAGGAACCCAAGATCGTTCTACGATCAAATTTGAGTGATAGACCTCGAGCCGTTGTTTACGACAAACAATAACCTTGGTATATATGACCTCAACCCGTTGTTTGATGCGAAACAAGAACTTGGTGTAAGAAAGACGCCACAAACGGTGGTGGAAACCCGTTTGATAAGTCACTGGTGAACGCCACAAAAAATCCCAAGAAAAATTCCTAAAATTCTAATCTACTAAGGAAACAAATTATAATCTACTAAGCAAACAAATCATAGTAGGAGTTTATATTTTAACCCAAAAATATGACCTGTTCTAGAAATTTTAAAAATTACAAAAAATACCCCGAACTCTAAAAAAGATTAAAAGGATATATAAAATACTAATACTAGCAAATTAAAATCAAAATACAATAATGCAAGGTTTCATATGGATCTTTGTCTTGATAGAAAGCCAATTACATTATCCTTCACATCTTTAAATTTGTGCTTTCTTGAGCATCTTATGTATTGCATCATTCTTCCCTGGTTGGAGAAAACTCAACCTCGAGTTTTAAAGTATTGCAGTACGAAAGTCCAAAAACTTTGAACTTGTATATGTAATCGTCTTTGAGAAACTTTTAGATGTCTCATTTTCTTCTCTAATTGAGGAAACAAAGAAAAAATTTGAAAATTGATCCCCTTCACTGTGTCGTTGAAGTTTTCTGAAATGATAAAATCAATTGGCGAAGCAAAGTGGATAGAAAGAAGCATTGGTGACTCTTCCTGTAGATCCTTGAAAGATGCAAACAAATCAAGCTCTTGCCATGTGTTGATTGACGACAATCTTAATCTTCTTAAATCTCCTTCAACACTAAACTACCAAATTTTTACCAAGCCTACAAGTTTCATCTTGGCAAGCCTTACTCTCCTCTCATCCGAGAAATTATACCTAACAAAATAGTTATCCATAGAAGTAAGCCAACTAGATAATGTTGTAGAATCATCCCTTCCATCAAAATCTTAGATCTCCATCATCATATATCAATATTGAAGCCGAATAACATAGGATTTTTCGGAAGCACAAAATAACAAGATTTTCACCCAAAAAAAATAACCTTCAGGCTTATTGGACCCAAAATAGATGAAAAAAAACAATTTTGTAATAATTACAACCAAACAATTCGGGTCTTTTCTCTCTCTCTTTTTTTTTTTGACTCCTTTCGGCCTCTTTTTTTTTACTCCTTTATGTTTTTTATTTTGTGATGATCAGCAACTATCTTTTGATAGTAACAAAATAAGATTTTGTAGTAAATTAGAAACAACAAAATACAAGCGGAATGGGGGTAGAGGAAATTTGGCTAAACTAGAATTTGTGAACCGAATTTGGGAGTAAAGATCATAGAATAAAGAAAAGAAAGGTTTTTTTTTTAAAAAAAAAAAGATAGACAAACTTGAACTAGAACCTTTGCTCTGATACCAAATGATGTGAACCCCAATCGACTTACTTTGAGCCCCAACAACAATATTAGAAAAACAACCCAAGAAAGCCAAACACAGGTCTATGGATGGAGAATCTAAACCCGTTGAGAACTCGTATCAAGAACCTAGATTATATTAAAATCTAAACCCGTTGAAGAGTCCGTCTCAAGAACCCAAATTACAAGGAAGAACGCCACAAAAGTTGTGATTTACCTTTGATAAGTTCAAAAGTTCATTCAAGAACAAGAGGAGTAAACTCAACTCACAATTACAATTCAATATTGCTTGCCCCCTTGAAGTGGTCGGTTACATCCTTTAAATGCCCTTCCCAAAACATGATAAAACCCTAAAATAAAATTTGTGACCCTTTCTCTAAAAAATGCCCTGAGTGAATAGTGTCGTGGTACTGTAGCGTGAATAGTGTCGTGGTACAGTACCTTCTAAAACCCTAGTTCAAATAAAATAACAACTTTCCTAATAAGCCCTTGGCCAAAATACAAGGCCTTTCCAAAAACCCTAATTCATAAGCAATAAGACATATGTGGGTCAAGCATCCTCAATCCCACTTATTCTAAACTAATAATAAAAATCTTTTAAACAAATTGAAAGCCTTAACAACAAAAGGCTATATCTCTAAGTCATGTCTTCATGTCTTCCACAGCTTGGATCAACTGGATCAAAAATTGGTTCTCTTTCTTTCGAGCCCATCTTGAGTGTTGGGCTCTTGCTAGCTTCATCCCAAGTGGATTGCACCAATCCTTGCATCACTGTCTTGATCTTCTTGGCTCTTGATCTTGTAATTGGCCCTCTAGAACTTGCAAATGATTTTTAAGAGTAGGCCCACCTTGGTTCCCATCACCATGCCAAAAGACACAATCCAAAAGACACACATGCAACCAGAAGACACAAACATGTAACTATTCACTCTTGAACAGATGTAATTAAAATTCAAAACTTGAGGGAACACTAACCCGATCCAGTGCGAATTTTAAATCCAACGGATACCGAAATTAAATTTTGAATTAAGAAATTCACGCCCAATTCGTTAAACAAATTTTTTCCAAAAAAAATAGGGCTGGGTCACACCCACACCCACACCCACAACCCAGGCTGGCTGGGTTGAGTTGTATCGTGGCGAGGCAGGGTGGTACGCGCGCTTGTGTGGTTGAACCAAAGGCTTGTAGGTGCTCCTTCCACTCATAAAAATGTAGTACCCTTGGGGCCCAGTCTTATAGAGCAAATTAGGCCTATATATGTTGACCTTCATCAACCAATATGAGATTGGTATCAAATCCCACATTGCACAACCTCTATTTTTCACATTTCACAATGGTAGTTTTGGAGCCTATTTTTTCATTCAGTGCTTACTCTATTTGAACAAGTAAATATACTATATTATTCTCCTCACGGATTATAATACGAACTCACGAAAGTTAACTCGAAACAACGAGCAAGTCCTACTTTAATTTAGGCTCAAATTCGACCAAAATCAAATTTTAATTACTAAAATCTGTTTTTAGTCCAAGAATCCCCCACATGAAGGGAAAATTGGATGTTAGTTTACAAATGATAATGCTGACACACTATAAAAAATACATCTTTAAAAAGATCGTGAATCGAGATATATAGCTTTTGGCCTTAAACTTTTCCTATTAGGAGCCTATCGGACTTACCGGCTAAATATTGAACGTAATGTCTTAAACTATTCAGCAATTTGATAAATCATATCGAATATACTTCGCACAATCTCTTTCCTAATACAATTGGTTCTCATGATTTTATTCATTTTGGCCCCGAACAACTCCTGATTTTCATAAGTGTTTTAGAGAATTCAGCT